TGCTTGTCTTTTATGGTCGGGAAAAGTTTTCTTGGTATTGTTGGTTTGTTGATGCGAAATTCGCTCATTAGCCTTTTCTGGTTTTAAATAAAAATGCTAAAACAAAATTTAAGTGCGATCCTCTTAAGCCGGCGAGATCTTCTAACTCTCCGCCTGGGTAAATACTTACGCACACATCTGCTCAAAGCAACAACTTTACACTTGGAAATGTTACCACTCATTAATTCAGGCTTGTTTCTTCGACCCTCTTCCTCGTCGGAGCACATTTGCCTCATTCCGGACCATATAAAACTCCCGCTACTCGTGATTTACTAAACGCTTCCTGGTTTCGCGAAATAATAACCATAACATTTACCATTTGCACTCTTATTGCTGTATTAAGTTAATTGCTGCACTTCATTCTGTCTGCGCGCACCTTCATATTAATAAAACTCGCGACTTTATTCTCTCGTACGCCCAACATAATTAATGCACCAGGCGTCTAGCCTCCGACGGGGGACTTTCTTTGATTTTATCCCACTACTCCCACTAATTAGCATTTAGGAGCTAATTTTATTGAATGCCATGAGAATATTAAACCAACTTCATGCTACAGCCAGATGGACAATCATAGTATTTCGCTAATTCTATTTGTTAAGGTCTTACCCTTTTCCTCTTGTTCCATTTCAAATTAAATTTTACTGTGTACATATACTTGTTATATTAATAGTTATTTATTACACATATTGATCGACCGTTTAATAATTCTTAATTTTCATTTTTTGTTAAATTAAATTCCAAGTTTTGAATGCCGTTCGCAGAGCACTCCAGACAGATTTATTTACTCGAAGGAAAAAGCTTAAATAAACATGTTGAAATAGTAAAAAGTTTTCCAAGTTAAACAAGTATTTGTAAGTGTGTTAAAAGCTTGTGATGTTTTTGGGAGTTTGTTCTTAAATTGGTTGTCTCATCAAAGATATTTTAAATAATCAAACAAAATCCGTCGTAAGTGATTAAAAAGAAAACATTGATTTTCAAAACATTATTTTAAAAATGAGTCAAAGCAAATATAAGAGTTCTATTGTAAATGTTTCACAATAGCTTTCGTCGCATTTGTTGTACCCTTAGTCTGAAAACCATTTCGCACACAATTGTTAAGAACCTGTATGTCTTATTCTTTTTTATTATAATTAATGTGGGATCGATTGAGTATAATTGAATAAAATTTTAAGTTAAAAGAATTAAGAAAAATAAAGCGGGGTTTTGCTTTGATATAAAGCTATGTTTCGAATTAAACTGGCTTCTGTATGTTGTAGGAGTATTAATTTAGTATTCAAGACCAGATATAAATTTTGAACGAAAACTTCAATATGATGGTATCAAATTGGTTTCTCTCGATTCTTCCATTGAGGATTAATAAGTGAATTTAATTTATTCCATAAATTCATTAGGAAGTTATCACAACACGGAAGGAAATCTAATATACAATTGTTTGACATGTAAATCGTCAGCACATAAAGCTTGCTGATTTAAAGGCAACGGAGATGCCGAGACAACAGACACCCACAAACGTATTAAAATCGACTGGGTCCGTGCTAACGGTCTAAATTACCAATACTGCTTAGGTATGCACTTGTTACGGTCACCAAAGCCAAACTTACGACTTGTGACCCAAATGAATGCATTTTTTTTGATTTTATAGTAGATTTTCGGCTTACATAGACACGTAACTTATAACTCACGCGGGACTGGCCAAATCGTATGAATTTTTTACAAACCGCAAATTGCATATTAAGTATTGATGTGATTTCTGGGAGCTTTGGCGGCGCTGTTTACTGCACAAGCTAGACCGGACACGTGATTGGCGGCGGCGATCCGATCGTGTGCAACTACCGAAGCTTACGGACTCCCTGTGGAACTTCTAGATTTTAACATTCAGCTCAACTAGGATCTTTCTTGGATTATTAATGTTTCACGTGTTATATTTTTATGTTCAGACCGTGTTCTCCTTTTAATACGTCTTATTACCATCACCGTTTACGCATCAATAGAGACGGAACATTATTGTTGCGGATTTACAAGCTCTGCTAATTGCTAAGGCCACTCAAATGGCCCATGATGTCACCTCCGCTCGTCATCTTTCCGACGATTTAGCCCTTTGGGATGGCCATCCTCAAATTTCCTTCGCATTGCACGCTTTCGCTAAAATTGCACAGACGACACAACTTGAACTCTTACTAAAATTACCTTCTTACAAATAATCAACAAAAAACCTTACTTCATTTTACCAACTTTTCTATTAAAAACGATGAGGCCGCCGGAAAAAGAACGAGCTGAACAAATTTACTAAATACAGTGGCAAAAACTGGATGAATTGTGTGGATTTGTTTGGTGTGTTATTGAGTGGGTAAAAATGTGTGGTAAACTTTTCAATTAATTATAATCTCGTCTAGACTGTTGAAATACGTTATAACATTGGAGTTGGAACGATTAAACAACCACAAAAGCATTGGTTAAACTTAGACTTTGAGTACATTTCACGCATGTATAATGGAATCGGATGTTCATACATCCGATGCGTTGCCAAGTTTTTCGACTTGGTTGAATGAAGGGAGAGAGAGTTGGGGTGTGCAAGTGAGAAGAAAAAGTCGTTAATGGGTAAGAGGCTAATGTCAGATTAATTTAAAAGAAAAATTATCTAGTTTTTGTGGAATTATTTATAGAATTGTGGATTTGAGGTAAAGGAGGGTGATAGAGACAGTTAAGTGTAATAATCTATCGCAGTGGAGAAGTGGGTGTAATTTTTACATGTAAGATCGGGGCTGAAAAATAGGGTGTTTGTGACACGTGAACGAATATTAGTATGTGTTGCGGATTAAAAGGCTATTTGTAAAGAAATAAGAAATCGAATTTTGGGATAGTAAGGGATTATTCCGTGATTAAACTGAAATCGAAGTTTTGTAATAAAAGGTTATATATAGGTATATTCTTTTATTCATAGGGGAGTTGAAACTAAAGCACGTCTCAATTAGTGAGGTAATCCCGAACCAAAACGGTCTATGGAAGCTAATTCGCCGTCAGAGGGCAATAGGGCCGCACTGGATATAATATTTGTATCTTTTGCATAATTCAATATCTCCAAATTAAGCTTTATTATATTTACATAATTTACATTTCACGCTGTCATAGATAATTAAATCATGAAAACTTTTCTCATTACATCGGTTGATTCAGACCAGTGTGTTTGATTGAGAAAATTGCCCATGTCTTTGTCTCAGTTTTTCCCTCTTTAGGAAAACCCTCGATGTACACGAACGTCTTCATGCGTACCACATACACACATGCGAAACTATAATGCCCCTTTCACATATTCCGCAAACGTTCAACAGAAATTGCGGCGACTCGTGTAGTGATACGATGTATTTTATTGCATCACATTCACGTCTATGTATACCACTTCGGACGCCTGACAAATTACCACATTTACATACATGTGTCAAGAATGAGCACTTAAAATTGCCGCTTTTGTCATAAATGTCGTATACTTGATTGCTGCCACGCACAGTACAATAACCCACTGTTCGAAGCCTGTCAATATATCATTTATTAATTTCATCACATCGACATTAATTAATTTCACACAAAAAATAAAACAATGCGCGAGGGTGAGTTAAAGCTTGGCTGGTTCACCCTGTATATCGCTTTAAATCAAATTTATCGGTGCGGTTCACGTGTCGGTTTAAATTTCGAGTAAATCAATTTTAAGTGTTGGTGGAGAAAGCAGGATGTAATTGAACGTCAGTCATACCACTTTCAAGATTTACAAAAGTTAAACGGTATTGTGCTATAAAACTTGCTAGCTTTGTAGTTTTAAATCTAGAGCTTTTTTATTTTATTTCTAGTGTTAAATTAAATTGAAGCATCAAGAGGGAGAATTAAAAGATAACTTACGAGAAATTATAATGTGGATACGTCCTTTTAGTGGCAATATTAGCAGAAATGGTCATCACCGAAGACGTATCTTTTTTAATAGGGATATTATTATGGAAACAGCAATTTTCCTCGTTTTAGTGCAACAACCATAGTTTTAAGTTTTAATAAAATTCATTACGCGGCAAATTTGCGTTTATGTTTTCCACTTTCGGATAAATAGTGTTTAATTTAAATTTAGGTGCGTATAATATAATTTAGCAAAATCGATGGTTACCGTAATTGGAAATTGTAACCTTTATTAAAAAACTGAAATTCAATAAAACGAAGCACCTCAAGAACAATCGAAATTGTTTTTGTTTTTGCTCGATTAGGGTTTGGAGTGATTGTTTCGTTTAGTGTTTAGAGGCCGCAGTCCGCATCGAATTGTAACGAGTGAATTTATTTATTTGTAACTTTAGGTTGTCACTGGTTAGAATATCTCTAAAAACATTTTAAAACGTCGGTACGGATTTCGCTAAATGGAAACGACATTAACGACGAGTTTTTTGCATAGAAGAGCTTTAGGGCTTTAGCTTTATAGTATAGGGTTGTTGCGTTTTAGTGGCAGGCCTGAATTATTCAATTAGAGTTCGATGAGTTTTGGTGTGATTTCAGTTTTGGACGAAATATATTAGAAGAGTTTAAATGTCGGCTTATGTCTATAGGTGGAAGGTAAACAGCGTGTTTGATTTCGGAGCGCGTTTCAGACGTGGTATTGACTGCTTTCTGGTCTTCGTATGCCCAGACACAAGAACCGGAAGTGACACAAGCCAGAAAAGGAAGTAGGCGACTGTTTCATGAGGTTTTATTTGAAGGTTGAACCCAACAAGCGAAAATCGTTTCTATCCGTTCTACTTATATTGCAATGCAGACTCAACGTTTAGCTAAAGATTGGAGAAAATTGTGCTATAATCTCAGAAATAGTGTCGTCGACTTAACCCAACAACCAAACTTGGGGTATTTTCTTTCATTAAGTAGTGCGTTTTAGAGGGTAGGTGTTGTAACGTAGTGAGTGGGTGCAAAGGGGCAATAAAATAAATTTCTGTTTAACTTATTTATATTACCTTATTAGACAATCTTAGAAACAATAACATTTCATTTCATAAATAAACAAAAACCAAACGAAACTCACATTTTGGAAATATTTACAGTCAAATAAACATCTCAACACATATTCGTTGACATTAATTTTTCTTCCATTCAATTTACTTATAAATAATTGAAACATTGTTTTGCGAATTTTTTTGTTTACAAATGCTTCGTAATTTGGCAACTGGTGATGTTACATCGCGTCGTAAAATTCAATTTAGCCGAAAATAACGATGCAACGCTACATCACCTGCATATCAGAAATGATTAAATTGTAAACAAAAATTTCAGGTAGTATCAAATCTTTAAATATAATAAATTATTCATTATTTTGGCACTTGAAACAATACAGTTACGAAAAATTTTGTCGTAAAAGTCATTGTCAGGACATAATTTTTCGTTATTTATTACAGTTTGCACACAAAATAAATTCATTATAGAGATGACTAGGTGGCGAACACAAAAATTAACATTCCGGTTTTCCTGTTGTAAAACAATGACGCTTTTTTCAATTAATTTTGATTCCAATACAAAATAACACTATACAAATCTATGTACAAAATTATACTTTCACATTTGATGGAAATGAGAGTGAAAGCAAAACATCATTTTAATTTATTCTTATAAACATGTATAATACTGCAGATAAAATGAGAGTTGTTGTCTTAGGCGCTAAATACATATATTTTACAGTAAGCTTTATGTTATAATTTATGTACAAATATATAAGTTTTAAAGAGCTAACACACTTTGAAATCAGCACATTGTTTAGCATTTAACAATTTTTCTTTTTTCTTGAATGAATTTACGTGGATTTAGATTGTCTTTTCAGTGCATCCACAATTACGCGAACTTTTCTTTTATAAAATAGCAATTAGACGCGTAGATATGTACTATTTGACGGTATTTGTCTTTTCAACAGAAATTTGCTTCAAATTAAAAAATTCAAATGTGGTTACTAAAAGAGTGCTAAATGTAAATAGTGTCTTTTATTTAGAATATTTAGCTCCACTTTTTGCGTTTGATCAAACAGCGTGCTTTTGAATTTATGTTCTATTTATTTCAAGCTTTTTCTCAGTGAGAAAAGACAAGCTTTATTTTATTTTTCATGTGTTCAAAGTAAATGCCTACGATTTATATTGTCGATTTTATCTGTGCGGGATGGCTAAACTAGTTTAGAATTTGATTAAAAAATTCAACACAAAAAGTGGAAACAACAATTCTAAAATAATTCGCTGTAGTGTCATGATATGTTACCAATTTTCGTTGTTGAGATAATATGTTTTACTTACCTCTAAATAATGATCAGCGTACAAACTGAAACGGCACGGCGTCAAAATTTAAAATGTGATTTTGGGTCGGGCGTAAGATATCATAACACTTGTAAATGTCTATATAAAAAATATGTTTGCTATAAATTTAGGACGTAAAATAATCGTTACAATTACTGATATGTTGGCAATGGAATGTTTCGGTGATGTTTACATAAAAACAGAAAAATTTAGAAGAAAGCTGAGCAAATGGAATTGTATTTTGTTGGTTTTGAGCTGGATTATTTGATATGGTACATTAATTTTGAGAAAGGGAAAACGTGCCCGACAAAAAACAGTGAAGAATCACAGCTGCAAACTGAGGGACTGCCCACCTTGCCATGCTGACACATCCTGGAACAAAAAGCAGATATATCATAAAATCAATGCCTATTCATCACTCTTATTCGAATTCATTCGATCGTTTCTTGCATGCACTTTGGATATTCAAATTAGTGAGCGAAAATGCATTCCCTCTACTTTATTTCAAACAATCGAAAATTAATTGTCCTAACTTTGCAACTCTTCCAACTATCACATCGATTAATGATCCCGACCTCGTGTGCAAAAAACTTCAGCCACATCAACAACAGGACAAAAGCTCGCAACTCACCCAACAACTTGCTATTATTTTGTTGCTCATTCAAAGCCGTCTAATCGATTTTATTGCAATTTTCATGCATCTTGATTTAAAAAAATTAAAACAACAAAAATGTTTTAGTACTAAAGAGGTTTGTAAGGACCTAAAAAATTTTTGGGTGTATATTAGCGAGAATTAGTTGCAATTCTTCATTTGTTTTCAAAGTAAACGTCTTATATTCTCTATAATTCTGTCTTAAGCAGGAGAATGCTGCTCATAATTTCACGAGTCGTTGGCTTAAAAACTTTTTCAAGCTGCGGGTAAAATCTAGCTAGGATTTGAAATTTTGCATACAATTAAAAAAAGGATTTGGTGCAAACGTGTGTATGTTTAAAGTTGGTGAAAGTTTCGTTAATTGAAGCGAATAATTCTTTTTGAGTTGGCGTTCTGGAAATAATGATTTTTGAATGAGGGAAAGAAACCGCGAAGTAGTCCTCTCGAAATATTTACCTCGGTGAGGCTAAGAGCTTATTTAAAAATCCATCTCCGTTCCAAACATAGTCAAGTACGTCAGGAAGCTGCATTTAAATGTAAAGTGAATCGTTTAAATTTGAGTAATATAAAAGGTTCAAATGTCAATAAACGACTTGCATTTCGACTTTCAATTGATTTATCCATGCATTCATAAACTTACAACAAATTTACTTCATAAATATTTAGAAGCTAGATTTTGTTCCGCGATAGTTTCTATTGTCGACCACACTGAAAGAAAAATAAAAATGTGCATTTGATTTTCTCAATTTAGAAAACAAGTCAATTGCTATTAGTAATAAAGTCGTTTAAATTAGTTACAAGGTCGGTTCATTTTGAGGTGCTGTGGCTTTAGGCATAAAGTTCAATTTGCTATCCCAATTCAACATTAAAAAATCAATCTCTTCGATGAATTGTGTTTGCTAGTTTATTGTCAACTTTTTCAAGTCAACATTGATAAATATCTAATGTATAAAACGAGCCGGGATAATGACATTTTCCTCAGCAATACAATAAAGACCGTGTTGTGATTTTGTGTAAAAGAAAGAGCGATATTTCGGTAGATATTGGAAAACAATCGGCGATACCATAAGGCGCGTACAAGAACAGCGTGTGCTGCCAAAGCGCGGTGAAAATCTAAATGTGTTCTTCATTTCCAAACAACTGAATGTAGTAAGCAAATGACAGAAAATAAGCATCGATATTAATCAACGGCCAAACCTTTTCGTTTACAGCATAAACTCGCATCAAATCTGAATTAAAACATTTCGACGCGAATGTAAACACAATACCAGTTTCCAATTTTCGAAATAAACAATTTGTTATTTGATATTAAGAGGAAGTTTATGTTGGTAAATTTGTGTTTCTCGAGACTAACCTACAAGCAATTGTTTAGTGTAAAGTTTAATCCGAGCCCCATACCACAGATTTCACTTAAGCGATATTAGTTAGATATTAGTTACAACACTAAAACTGGCGGTTTAGTCAAAAAAATCGCGATTAATTTCATTTCCAATTTTCCACTATTACCAATTACGAAGTTATTCGGGCATACTGATTGGCTGACGAACTCTTTTGTATTGGAAATTCAACTGGACGACAATTATTATTGGCCCTAATCTGCACATTGCCATTCCACAAGAATGTTCGAATTCTACTGGTGTGTCCTCACCTCGAAATATTTCGGCTAGATCCAAAGCCCAGTCAAACCAGACCATTCAAATTAAAATTGACTTCATCAAATTCTCCCAATTCACGATAAATTCTCAACCCTAACAAAACTATTTATTTTATTTAAAAAAATACAACACAGGGATTTTACATTTTAACACACCAATTGCTAAAATTTGTCTCCTACTCTGAATAAGACGTGTTTGTTTTCTATTCCATTCTTTTTAAGAAATTTACATAAAACCACATGACTTATGTACGATACGCTACTGCTTGCAAGGTTCACTTATTGCAATAGATGTGACTCCTGTGCACTTGGGTATACAAAATATTTCTTTCAAAAATAAAGAAAATCAATAGACATTATTTAAACATGCGATCGATATTTTGGGAGCAATATTTCTTGAATTTTATCTTCACGAATTCTAAATAATTTATCAAGAAACACATGCACAGCAACAAATGCAATTACAAATAAATTCAACTCAATTACATGTGTAGTTTTTTCGAAAGAAATGAGAAAAGTGTGCGATCAATAGCAAGCAGCGCATTTCAATGTTCTCGAAATTTTTTGATTTCCCTCTGGGAACGTTTTAAAACAACAGTGACATTACTCCAGATATGCATTATGAATAGAAAAATAATTTAATTTCAAAAATTATAATCACTAAAATCTACGAAATGATTACCTTAGGGCGCAGCTACTTTGAAAATATTGTGGTTATTACCCTAAAGCAAAAATTCGTGTCGTGATAAAATTTTAGTGTGTTTCTATATTCCGCAGCAACGTGTTTTAGCTCACTTATTATTTTATAAAAAATTAAAAATCAAGTGAAATAGTTTGGATAAAATTATTTCAGAGGGGAGATTATTCCATGTTAATACTGAAACATGTTTCGCTTCATTTGTTTGTTTTGTCTTAACAGTGAGGCAAGTTTAAGGTAAACTTGTTCAGTAGGTAATAATTAGTGATTAATAGGTCCGTATATCATTGATGTATTTGGGTAACAGTTCGAAATAATGGGATGATAATTAGACTTATGTAACACATAACAATGTAAATGTTGGGAATTGGAGAATGCGGTTAATATTTAATATGGGAAATGTTTGAGGCTGAAATGCATTAGGTATCGCGGCTGAATTTATTATTACGATATAAATGGAGTAGGAAAGTTTAATATTATTAGCCATCTGTACTCGCAAAACGAAAGTTGGGTATAACCGACCCACATTATAGTAAATCTAAGGGAGGATATATGTTTAGTGTGAACGTGCAAGAAATTTTGATCTTTCACGTTCTTTCAAGGCACATATTGAAAATTTGAAAATGTCGAATTAAATTTTAGCTGCACGTCAGCGTAACAGGTGGTTCAAATTACAGTGGTTTACAAGCAACATTCGAATGGCTAGAAATATGGATAATTCTCTAAGATCAATAAGACACCGCCTGCACCATTCTGATAGATAATTTCCGTTAAGACACGTCCGGTTCAAAGGGAAAAACACAAGTGCTGGTGGAAGCATGTGAGACACAGCCTTAGATTCATTCAAATTTTCGAGTCCTCCCACAGTTGCCCACACCAGACCTGGCGTTTTATATGCATTTTTAATTTTTTCTGGTCTAAAGTGGGCAAGTGGTCGGAAAGTGAATAGATTTGTGAGGTTTGGGTGCTGAGAGCGTGCGAGTGCAAGAAAAGCCGGGACCTGTACCTGATCCTTGCGGCCCTGGAGGTGTGTAAAGTCCCAACCCGGTTTCGACAGCGGGCCCTGGTTGCAAGACGTCCTTCTCCGAGGAGGATACCATTACAACTTTGGGCCTTTCGTCTGGAATAACAGGCCTGCTGATGTTGCGCTTCCCCGCGCCTGCAATAAGAACCACCCGTCAGCACCCCAAATGAAATTAAAAATCGTATCGTATCGAGTTTGTGTACGTCGTTCTGGAACAGTAAAATATGGAGCACTTATTGGTCTTATACAGCGTGTTTTTGAAACTTAGCACGATTGCCCTGGAGAATAGAAACACACTTTGAACTCTGTTCTACTCATCTCGCGTAAGGTGAGCTCACAAAAAGTATGCTTTCATTGTGTTGCTGAATATCACCGCAGAGAATAAGTTGCGCCCTGTCTTAACCCTAACTTTAGCCATTACAGCGGCGCGTTATTGTAATGCCGAAGTTGCTTCTTTCTCTTCGAGGATATTTATCATTGCATACACATTGCCACCTATATACATTGCGAAATATGTCCTCTTCAACCATTCAACTTTGAAAACTTCAAACCCACAGACTCATAAACAGTACGTTATTGTCCTTCTTTGACTTATCCTCCTTTAACCCTTCCACAAAAAATCAATTAAAACCTTCACAGGCAAAACCGGAAACTTTCCCAATCGTAACTCAGCAAGAACAGGAATCACGATTGGAGAAAAGCACTATATCACTGACTGAACTTTCTCTCATACCTTTGTTTATAAAACAATCTGTCTGATGATAGTTAAGTGGGAAAAATAGTCTTTACTTCTTGTACAAGCTGCTTGATCTTGTTGGAAAACGTGCTTCAAGAGTGGTTTTAAGGTAGTTGAGACAAGAAATAAGTGTTGTTTTCTTGAATGTAGAACAGAAAGCAAGTAAAAAAGGATGCGCGCAAATAAGGCTGAAAAGATAGATGAGTTTGTTCTGTTTGTATTATTCAGTCGATAGTTCTTGTAAGATCGAGTGTACCATATGATCGGGGAATAGAATTGGTTGATCATTGATTGCGCGTTCTTTCGAATAAATTTGCGCCTCTACACTCACATTTAGCTCTTTTCAGGTCGTTAGTTATTCAGTGTAATTGGTGTTTTTTGAGCAGTGTTGTAATTGCATGATTAATCAATCTTGGGGATAGCTATCGAAAAAGTTTTGTTGCAACAACCTTTGCCGAATCCAATAAATATTTAACTGTAGATGCTATTTATAATTGATTCACACTACATGTGCACCTATTTGAGCAAGGTGTAATGTAAGTTTTATAGAGGAAAGAATTTATTGTTCCGCTGCGATACTGTCTCGTATGCAGTCTGAATTTGAAATAGCATTATAAAATACACCAAACTATTAACAATACAATGTACTATTTTTAAAAGCGAATGAATAAACTTTGAATTTATTCGAACGTGTCCTAGCGCTTGCGTGTACAGAACATTTTAACTAACAGCGGCTATGTTTTTATGCGATTAAAACGCGGAGGCTTTTGCGTCCGCACGGACGATGCCATTAGTATTCGCACAAGATTAATGCCCGCGAGCTGGAAACATCTAATTAAGTAACGTCATAAATTCATCCGGAATAAAGCGATGAATACCGAAAAACTAGAATCCAATCCGACCAATGTTCACTTACCATTCGACGTTATTTATCCAAAACCGGTTTTTTTCTAGCTAATTAAAAGCTAAAAACCGGATTAAATGCACTGTCGAAAACCGGTTTTAGCATTTAATGAGACTATCATACTACTCGTGCATTTGGGGAAAGGATTTTTAATATGTATTCATGCAACTTAATACTTACTCTCCTTGTTGGAATTGCTTTTCATTTCGGTGGCTCGCGGAGGAGTTGATGGCATAGGTATTTCTGGAACAAGACAATTTTTTAGCATTTAATTTAATACACGATATAAAATTTAATATATGAGAGGGAATGAAAATCTTTTTCAATGTGTTGGTAATAACGCTATAATTTTTAAAGCACACAATCCGATCGTTATCTCCAAATAAACGGTGGGGTAAAATTATGCAAATTTCTCTGTTCACAACTCTGTTACCTCATTAACAAAAATTACCAAATTTACATCTTAATTTTAATTAATTAAAACTGCCGACTACCCTAATATTCTCCCTTCTTTTTTATCGCTTTGTGTTTCGACACAAATTAGGCAAAGTCACCGAATATTGACTTGTATTTTAAACAGACTTTTATTAAGATAAAAGAAAATTTCTATTGACTTGTTTCAGATAAAAGTATTCTGCATAGTTCCGAAGGCAAGGAATTGCAGCATCAGCTCTTTATAAAAAGTAAAAAAGACCATTAATTAATGAGTTGCCTTATTTCACTGGATCTGTAATTTACGATTTATCGGGCTTAAAATGTAAAACGTAAACCGTGTTTTCTTTTATTCTGTTTACAAAAACGGAAACCGTACACTTTTGCTCAATCCGTTACAGTAACGAAGTTACAAGCACTCATAATTGAAAAAAAAAACCTCTAATTTAATTCTCCTTATAATTAAAAATGATTAAGTGATCTGTACTTTCTGCATATATTAAATAATTAAATTGATATGTGACAGTTTTTAGCTTCATAAAATGACTATCGATAATTTATCGACGAAGTTTAAAGCTCATTCTAAGTTAGAGTCAAGTCGTCTTTTATGTAAATTTCCACTTGAGTGATTTCAGATCGATGTCAGAACCATATTTTTCTATTTAACAACGCCGAAAAGCTGATTAATTTTGGTCAAATGCGGCGTAATGTTAAACGAAATAGTAAAAATTGCATAATCCTGCAAGCTCGTATTTGACTGAATTATTAACCGTGCGAACATTCGCGATACAGGAAATATGCGGTTTCCATTTAGAAGCGTTAATAACGAAAGCACTGATGCTTAGTGCTCTTCTAATTATGCTTTTCGGTGCTGAATGCAATCCTGAGAATGTTGCCGAAATATAACATTATGAATATAAAAAGGACGAGAACTTTTGTTTGAAAAAACGCCAAAACATACGGAAAAGTGACGGCCGCTAATCCGAAATTTATTTTTTGTCACGCCCTCCGAGCCATAAAGGCTTATTCTTAGTTTCATCGAAAGTTAAATTTTCGTTCGTAACGGACATTAGGTAGACAGGCATATGAGCGTTTTCTCAAGAGAGATTTATAGACCACGATGAGAACAACATTTTATCAAAATAAATTACTTTCTGAATTCAACGAACATTTTGATATTTTTTATAGGTAGCCTTAATGCCGGAAAAATGGATTCATATGTCTGATATAATTGAGTGTCGCACTTTTCTTCGATAATTTTAACTCAATCTAATATTTATGAAGCATCTATAAGTAGTTATCCTAAAGTTCACATTGTTATGGTTGCTTTCGAAAGTGTGATGTGGCAGAGATCTGTTATCATAGCGGGAAAAAGCAATTTCCAACAATTTTCTTAAAATAAAATTTGCGCTGCGTAGAATGTCGTCCAAAAGCAATTTTTTAAGGTAGAATAATACACGATTGTAAGTTTCATCGTAAGAGTTTTAGTTACAAAAATAGTAGCTATTTTACAAGTCAATTCAGTGGTGTGGACATGATAAGTATTTCCTTTAGGAGATAATTAATTTTGCACGTTGAGTCTAAAGCTGAGTGTCTAATACAACAAAGAGAATAACTAAACAGCTTGCTAATGAGCTTAAGTAGTTTATAAATTTGTTACGTGTACTTTACGTCGTGTTTGTGTTTCAAAATCAGTGAAAAGTATTGATGTAACAATTAATAGGCAAAAATGAGTTGTTTTAGCAAAAGTGAAAGGGTATGGACGAATTCGTTTGCGAGTTAAGCAGATATATTTTATTTACCGTATAGTCGGATGGATCCTTCCGTTTCCCCAAGAGAATTCTTGGAGATGCATCGATAGTTACCGAAGTCTCCGGGTTGGAGGTTTCGCACTGACAATTTCATGTGCGCCCTGTAGCTGTTTTCAGTCGTTTCAGTTCCATACTTCTTCGTAGGCAGGAGCATGACATTGTCGTATACCCAATAGCTAATGGCTCTTGGGTATGCCTCTGTATGGCAGTCTATTGTGACATCCGTGCCGGCTGGTGCCCCAACCAACTGATTTGGAACCCAAATCATCGGAGAAACTGTAACAAAACACATTTATTTACAAATGCGATAGCGAAAACGAATCACGATCCGAATCTTTATACTAAACAAAATATATCGATGCTTGTTAACCACTGGGAAACATTCACGAAATATATTAAAATAGTTACGAGAAAATGTGAATGAGTTTATTTTTACTCGGAAAAATTGTGAAAAATATTTCCTTCAAGGTTTATTGCTGGGGTAGATACAGAAGTGACCTGATGAGAAATAGCTACACGTTGGACATGTCACAAAATATTACATGTACAACATGGCAAAAACGTTAGGGAGAAAATATAATTCTTTGCAAAACGTAAGAAAAGAAAAAAAATCTTAACTCGTACTAATGTTTCACTACAAACCGATCTTTTCCACCCTTCTACTTAATAATTAAGCCGTATATCACAAAAATACTCAACCAAAAAAGTTTAATACATGATGATATAAAACTTGGAGTAAATAAAGAAAACTTTCCAGAGATATTAAAGTCTTAAGATGTACTTTAGAAATATGATTAATAAATTATGAATATTAATCCCTGCAATGAAAAATAAAGCAGTTTATTTTAAGACGCTCTGCTAAAAAATTATCTTGCATTTCATTGTCCTCTACAAAATCGCAAGGGGGCGATAACCTCATCTTAATTTTCCTCATAAATAAACGCAACAAAGTTTCATCATCACCTTTATTATCACTAAAAATAATCGATTGTCGAAATTAGTCAGACAAACGTCAAGTGGCAGAGGAAGAAAAATTGCCCAGCCCCAAAATCCTAACAAAGAAATATCTACTGTTGCTGGTTTTTTATCTTACGAAATTGACCGTTCCATGCACCATTCTTTTGCATTTCACTTCATCAATAATTTTGTCACGTTTCTTGAGTATTAAATTTCGACTCCGGCTTTGTGCTATTTTATTTAAAAATGATTCTCATTAGATTTCGTCATGTTGTTATGATCATTGTGTACTAATTGTGATTGATGTTTCATTTGGCTTGTTGTTTAAAAATTGAACAGCTATAACAAACACAATCACTGATTTTAAACAATTCATTAATTGGAGTAACAAGAGATTTCATTTTGCAATTCTTTTTTGAATTTTTTGTCTCATATGACATTGTAAAAATGGTATTGATTTAGATCCTAAATGTTGGCTTATTTGCAAAGAGCCGTTTCAAGTCCCTTGATAGTAGATTTACTTCGTCAGTAGAATTTCTTAATTTTTCACATGGAGTGATTAAGGTGATGTCGATCAAGAAAAGTAGTTAAAGTCGATTAGTAGCAAAGATATTCTTCTAAATCTTGTCGGATTTATAAAGATGAAATATAATTTCACTTTCGCTAGTCTTACTCTACTGCAACGATCATTTCAAGAAAATGCTTCTGAAATGGCGATTTATCATGAAAATGAAAAACAACAAATCTTTCCTAATGCTATACGGAAATACATAACAGTAGGAAATATTTTAGGATTCTGAGTAAACTAAGAAAAACTAAAAATTCTAAATCACCCCCGTTATACCTAAATCATTTTTATGCTTAAAGAAAAAAGCTAAATTATAAAAGAATACGATTTATGAACAGTTCTAGTTTTATTTGTGACGGTCAGTGCTGTTTTTGCATACACAATTTCAGTTGCACCGCTTCATAATTTTTTAATTAAATCGATAGGCAGGTAAGCGATAAAATCATGAGTGGCAAAATTTACAATACTCGTAAATACTTAACAAAAAACAAATTGTTTCTTTTTGAATTCTCTCAACTTAATAGCGCAAAAAATTAGTTTTCAAAAGACAAAGCAAAAATGCGCGCTTTGGTACATATTTCAAGAAATCACTTACGATTTAACAAAGATTTATTCGTGTATATTTATCTTACTCGATCGCATTACGAGTAGCTTTTCGCTTTGCGAGAAATTAAATTTCTTTCAGATCGCTTTATCGATGTTTCCCTAAAAGCGTATTGCATGTTAAATACGAGCGAAATAAAAAGCTTATTTTCCAATAAATTGTCCAGTAATTAGTATTAATTATGAATTTTATGTTAATGTTTCTGCAAGACCAGTTCGTTTGGGTAAACTTAGCCAAATTTGTTTTAATTATACTGAGTTTTTATTGTTTTCAAACTAAACAAAAATTAATTTTGGAGTCATGCGAAAATAACAAATGTTTCGTTCCACCACGTTTTAGTTAATTTTGAATTAAATTATTTTATAATTTGCATATAACCCAAAACAAATATTTCACTCCATGCGAGATTATAGAAAGAATGGTGTTGGGTGATAAAAGATTCTTTTCTGTAAAATGTGAGAATTACAATAAAATTATGTTTTTGTGGGTGAAAACATTGCAGGAAAGCCTTTTGTGGTACTATTTGGCGTTCAGAGGCATTGGTTGAGGTATGGATGCAGCAATCGTCATTGTTAAAATTCGAGGGATTCTCGAATTGTCATTGGACATTAACGCATTTATCCAAATAATAAAGAGGCGAACTGCATTAGCTTCATATTTGAAATACTGGACGTGTTTCAAATTTTACCGCCAGTGAGGAATGTACCAATATAGTGCTTTTGAAGCATCGGAATACTCTCATCATTGTCCAGATGAACGACAATTTTCGCTCGGAAATTTACCAGACACAATCGGAAATATTTATCCGAATTAAAGGTATTTTCGAATTAACTGTAAATCGGTCGAGTAATCCTTGATTATTGAAAAAAAATCCTTTTGCTTGACAAAGGTTTGAAGCGTTTAATTAATTTAATCGAGTTATTTGCGCGAACAAATTAAGTTAGTTTAGGATGTCGTGATACAGGTATGTACTCCTTATCCGGAGACGAACAACTTGGCATAAGTTGCGGTTTTGCCGAAATATATATTTAGCTTTCGCCATGTAAGCACTTTGAATACATTATCTTTGAACAAGGTTCCATTCGACTAGTTTAAAAGTTGAAAATTTGGTAAATAGTAAAGGCGCTAACTTATCGACCGCTTGCCGACATTCGCCGACATTTACATACACCTGTTAGGCAGTCACGCGAGAACTCAACTTGAACTCGAGACTCTTGAATTTCAAAAGTATATTCACACCGTCATAATCCGAGGATATGCACCTTCCTTCCTCACTAAACCAAAAACCCTCCAGTTTTAACATTAATCACTTATTTATTTACTTGCTTAAATCATTGAAATCAACCAGAGTTTTAGACATAATTACGTTACAGATCTACTAAATGACAACAAAACTGACGCAAGGATTCAATTATCCTTTATAAATTACGTCCCGACACAATTAATCTTCAATCATTGTCGCAAAATCATTAAACTAATTAACAAGGTACAGACATCGGTATCAACACATATAAACTTTTACAATCTTTAATTAATGAAGAATGTTGCAATGCAACACAAAGTGACATTGCATTAATTATACATGTTGATTGAAGCTACTAACTAGACCCGGACCTATTTCAAGAGATAATGAAGAGTGCGCCAGAAATGGACATTAGTTATTTCTAGTACACTTCACCAAATTACCAAAAAGGCACCATGAAATCCTTTCAGACAAAAAATGGTGAATCAAACTTTGAATTTGAATTTGGTCATATATGGAGTGCAGAATTCTGGCTCGGAGAGTAAATGAAGTATAAAATTTTATACGCTTTCTGCTTAATTAAAGAAATAATGTTTTATAAATGCAGTCGTGGGAACATTAAACAACAATTTTCTTTTTTGATAATATTTTCGTGCACGTATACGAAATGAACGCTTTCCTCTCCTCTCATTTTAAAAATATATTTCACAGTGAGTAAATGTAAAGTTTGTTGAGAATCTTAAATACATTTCTCGTTAACAATAACATAAATTTTCATGCAAATTACCAAATACAAGGTAGATACCTACGTCCCTGTGGGGCAGTAGCCGGGTGCTATTTCCCCAAAGACAACTAAGCGACCCTTGTTCGGGAAACTTAGTAATACTTGAAATAAATTCCCTTTTCCATAAGGAATAATTTATAAATATAAGTAACTAATATTGAGAGATGAAATTTTTCGTAAATTTGATTTAGGGTAACGAGTAATTTACGTGCGGTGTGTTTAGTTACGTGCTGTTGGTGGTACGCGAAGAGAATGCAAAACAATAAGATCGTGTGATGCGTGTTTAATCTCTGCATTAATCTCATGGTCCTCCGAAAATGACGGAGGAAACTCGAGAAAATCGCAAAAGCGAGCGTCGGATGAGACCAACTGCACACAAATATATAAATAAAATCGATTTTCAATATCGTCACTTATCGCTTACAAACCATTAGACGCGTTACATATCAGTGCATATATCGTATTGACTAGCCCATTGCTTTGCCGTTACCGGGGAATATACGTTTTGTTTGTTTTATTACCTCTTTACCGAATCATAACGATTTCATATAAAATTCAAATGCCCGAAACCATATCTTGCTGTGTATAGACGGTTGCGATAAAATGAATTGACGTAATTCTTTCAAACCTCCACACACCATTGCCTTTATATCTTCGACTTTGACTCGATTCCAACAAATATTACAAATCACTGCCGGCCCACAGAGTTTGCCCCAACATCAAACACAACGCAAATTAAAATGTGAAGTTTTTAATAGAATTTCGTACTAGAATAAAAGGTTAATATCTGTTCTAAAACAATTGCTGTCAAATTAATGTCTTCCAGAACTGGGATTATGAAAATTGCATTATATTAGACCAGATAGAAAAGGGGGGAAAAGTTGAGTTGATTGATTGGCCTAACAACTGTAGTTAAAGTATTTGTCCAAATCAATTTTTCAGGACCAATTACTGAACTCAATTTATTTACTATCGTCGTATAAGTAGTAAAGTGTATCGTTTTCAATTAAATGTGAAATGGTAGTTTTATGTTAAAAGATATACAATGTATTATATCGAGTGTACACAATACGAACATTATAACGGGCAATGATAATCATAGTAGTAAACGAAACGGTTTTCTTGCAATACCTAGGACTAATATTACTAAAGCAGACGCAAGGAACATTTATGATAGTAGTTGCAAAGTTAATGGATTCTTTTCCACCGTTCGATTTTCTCATTTAATATAAAGTTAGATGCATTTCAACAACCAAAAATTTAATAAAAGCGCCAATTTATGTCTATTTTTGTATTTCAATTATGCTTCATTTTTCATAAAATCATAAATGTGAATAGTTGGCACAATTATATTTCATGGATTTTCTTCCTCATCAATTCATTTAGACCTGACAGTGCTCTACTCTTCTCGTAAAATTGATCTGACGTCTCTACTCACATCGAAAATTTATCAAGTCTATCTCTTTCGCTATATATCATTAATAGAAATTTTATTTTTTGATGTTTGCTTTCATATTATTAACTTTTTCTTCAAGTTTATTTGATTGGTTTAAATTTTTTAGGAGGTTAGCAATCGATTAAATTAGTGAAGACGTTTTCCGAGTCATCAGACTAAACGTTGTTTGTAAATATTCAACAGATTTACGCTTTGCCTCTTCGTGACCGACTACTAAAGTAGACTATCTACGTGTTAAAAAGTAGATCTCAGGTGTATTTTAACAAGTAAATTATAGCCGTCGGAGTTGACATAGCACGTAATTGCCAATCAAGGGTAGTGAATCATAACATCGTTTATAAATCTCGGTGTTTTAATTTCGGTAAAAATTTAATATCGTTGTGTAAGTAAATGGGATTTTAATGTTGTGAATTCGACAGGAATGTGATTCGGTAGCAAGGCGGCCGATTTAGAGATTTAATGTTGTTTGTCTAGATTTGTTTTAAATTTGAACAAACAGGAAGCTCCCGAATATAAGAGAGTAAAGTTTGTCGGTAAATTATTTTCGTTACTTAAAATTTTTCTCAAGTCCAACATATATTCATTAGTCAAGTTGGCATTTTAGCAGACAAAACAATTTATTTTACAAAGTACTCTACTAATTTTGCTTGTTCTTGCGGGCTAAAATGGAACATTCGAAATTACATGTTGAATTGGAGTAAAAACTTAATGTTTTGTATATTTTTCAAATGTATTAAGGCCACATCAGCCCTCTGCTAAAGCAAAGAAGGTTATAAATTTTCCTCGGTCCTCTACTAATTTCTACTCGACTTCCTACGAAATATAGGATAGTAAATTTGCCTTATATTACACAAATTGATATTTGATAACGGCATACTAGAAATATATCACTTAAACTTATGCGCGTTCGGAAAATTTATTTTATTCATATTACTTTTGAAAAATCGACTTTACTTGCATCACTCTTTAAACTCGATCGATCAAATTTAAATAATGGTCCATACAAGGAACAAGCGATGCGCATATTTTACATCTAAGCACTTTTTGAATCAAGAAATAAAGATGCCGATTAATTGACAAATAAAGGAAGGATTTGTTTACGCAGCGCCAATTTAGCTACTGCATCTTCTATTTACACAAACTGCTTTCATTTTATTTTCGGCTCGTGCACATTTTACATAATTAACACTAGAATAACAATCGGCCTTCGATATTATTAAAATTATTCAGAGATCCTTTCGCAGACAATAAAATCCCATATAACTTTCCTTTTGTTCCGGCTTACATAATATAATCATTTTAGATGAAAGGCCGGCCTATCGCTTTTTCAACATAAAATTTTCAATTAATGCCGCGATTGATTCCCATTTTGTATATTAAATATTTCCGAGTATACAACTAAATTCATTCATGTATACATACATTCAAAGATGCAGCTTGTATAGAGACATTAAAATTTGTTACGGATTCATAAATGGGTAAACGGACGTTTGGATGTCTCCAATATTTCATCTTAAAAATTTTACGGCGTAAATAATTGCGAATTATTAAGGAAACATGCAACATTTACTTACATTCGACGTCCACGATGATTCGTTTGCTTACAGATGGAGGAACTCCATTCGTAGCTATGCAAAGATAGGCGCCCATTTCCGTTCTACTGATGCGGGTGAGATTCAATTGCTCCCCGTCGTATACGTTCACTGTAATAAATAAATATTGCAATAAACAAAAAATTACACTATGATAACTACTTGGTCACTTTGAAGTGCTTTCCATCGGTGCGAAATTTCGACGAAAATCTACCTGAAGCTCTTTTTAAGCCAAGGGTGCATGTATTAAAATTCATTAAAGCAATTTTTTCCATAGTACTGATAGAAAATTCGAAATTCGGAGACAGGAAACGCGTTTAAATATTTCATTCAAACATGAAGATTTTATTCAGGACTTTTTACATTTCCATTCGTAATTAAAAGGAAGTTGTTCTGAGTCGTAATAAACGTTTAACCTCTTGGGATTTATTACCAGTTAATTATTATAAATACATGACTGTGGGTAGTTAATAAATAAACCGTTTCTCTTACCCCAAATGGCGGAGTACAATTGAATAAAGTAAATTTCGAGATAAACGTTAATATAATTCTTAGATAGAGCACGAAACTGAAATTTCCGTTGTGATTATTTCTTAAATATGTTTATATAAATGACTTAAACATTTCATAAAGTCATATTTCAGACAAAGAATTTATTTGGGTCAAATTTTTAAAGCTAAATAATACAGTCAAGAGTGATTTCTCGACGTTCGCCTTAAACAAAACTTGAAGTTTTCCGTTATTAGCTTTAAAATATTTCTTCTTAAATAATAAAAATATTTGACGTAAAGAATTTTCAAATGATTTTGAATAACAAAAGGATTCGGCAGCTTTAAATTAATTTAGCATTTAACCGCATATTTTCACTCCCACATCAATTTCCGCAAATTCTTTTGTATTTCATTAACCGACTAAATGTTATTATATTTGTGTAAAAACAAAACTCGGGAATTCTTCCTTCAAACTCCGACTTTGAATTTTCATTAAAGTTTGCAACTCAAACGAAATTGCAAAACGAAATGATAGTGGCTTAAAAATGTCTAACTCAATTGGCACGTGTTTTAGTTTTGTAATAAGCTTTCGTTTATCTGGTTTGGCTAAAACGTTATCGGTGTGATTGGTACTGGTGGTGGAAAGTTTAAATTGACAAAAATTTTGTTATTCATTGTGGCGGGATGTTGGTAATCCTCGTTATAAAATTATAAGTTTGGCGCATCGATTTCTCGTTACTTTGGTAAAGTTGCGTTAAAGTCAGTTGAGGAAAAATAATTTGTTAAAATTTGTGTTATGTTTTGAGAATGTTAAGAAGTATTTACGCGCGTAGTTAGTGCAAAACCGATAATTTTTTGCATGAGTGGTCAAAATGGCAATTAGATAATTTTAAAATGGGTAAACATAATTTTATGCAGTTGAAGATACCCGTGGGGAATTAGCACATTATATTCAAAGCATATGTTAATTTCCATTGGCCATTGTTCCTCATGTTATGTTCGCATGACGAAGAACGTGTAAAACAGTTCAGTTGTAGCTGGAATTGTACGTGAGAGCGTGAATGCACGTCGCATTTTATCAAACTAATTAAGGCGAGTATAATATTAATCCTAACACAGTCGAGCGCAGACAAACTAATCCCACCCCATAAAAGGATGATGTTATAATAGCAACATATCATTTTTGCCGGAATATTCGCAAATAAATCAAAAATATTACACAAATGGAAACCTGAAATGTTAACACAAAAACGTTGTCGACTGAATTAGAATATAAATTTGATGCCGCAATGTTTCAGATTACGAAGTGTTCAAATAGCCCATTTCATTTCCTTATCATTTTACAAAACTAAAATCAACCAAAACCGCTTCGACATCCAAGCAACTACCTTTAAATACGAGACTAATAGCATCTTTCCACACTTTATCTGCATAACTGATATCGCGGTATAGAATTTTAGAACGCGCATGCTTACTACCACCAACCCCAGTGCTAGATTAGCTGTTGCAATATTTAACAGGCCAGGCAGGCAGGGTTGTAAGCTTCGCACTCCGGCACCTGATAGCACCCCATTGTAGCCAAGCTACTGACGCCAGTATCGCATTATTTTTACTGCAACTCAATAAACTTTCAAACGATTCATACAAACGCTTTTTCTTATATTAACTTCTATTTTATTGAAAAATACAAATGCAACACAAAAGTCATTTCAGATTCAAAATTTGCATAAAAGCTCAAAGCGCCAACTGCACTATACGCTTCTTAGATTCTAACATGCCACAATAACGTTAAAAGTATTTTCTTTGTTTTGCTGTTGAATAAGAAAACAACCTTAAAATATTGTCCTTTCATATAACAGAACGGCTGTGAAAGTTTACATGCTACAATTTTCTACAACTTGCTCAAATTTAGGTCAAAATTAAATTTTAACAAGTTGGAGAGTTAATAATGTATGATCATTTTTAAACAGCGTAATTTTTCAATGCCTCAAGAAATGCTTTACTTCTTCAGGAAAAATAATAAGACCGCAAGACCGGAAAAAGAAAATTAGCCAAAGTTATTTATAACTCACACGTTGAAAAACATTTTTTGCTAAAAAAATATTCCTTGTAAAAACAAAAGAAAATTTCCGAGTACAAAGATCATTTTAAAAATGGAGGATGCGCCAGGTCAGCACCAAACTATATTGTATTAACTGAAACAACTCTAATTGTTTTTTTAAAAAACCATCAAAAATTTGCTTGAAATTTTCAATCTGCAGTTGTCTGTTTCAAAATCATTTACTCGCTTGTTAAAAATAGGTTTACTGTCTATCACAGGCCCTTTTGTTTCAAATGAGTTTTATTTAAAACTTTTTCTGCTATTAAATACTAACTAAATCTTGAAAGCTATTAGTCTACTTAAAATTTCTAAGAAATTGAGATAAATAACACAAGTAATACTTGAAACTTTATGTAATTAATTGTTATGTCCGGCTGTGGAAAGGATGTCATCTAGATCGTAGTAACCGTTGTTCCTTATTATAGCACGTCGAAAAAAGATGTATAGACACTAGGGGTAGCTTATGAGATAGGTTGCGTCAGTGTTACTGATGAAGTTATTAAAAGTGGTCGTTGAGAATATCATTGGAGGCCCTAGGGTGTTATAAACCGTTCATAATGGATCTCAGTCAATAATTTAATCGCGTGTAAAGTCCAGAGTAACGAATCTTAAAAATCGCGTTGTAACACAAAGTTGGGTCTTAATCGAACCAATAGTCTTAATAAAATGGCACGTGCTTAACTTAAGTCTTTTAATTTATCTAAAGTTAATGGAATCCCAACCTGTGCGTTACTCCTTCGCTGTAGGAATTTAGCACGCGTTGTCAATATTAAGCAATTCGATTAAATCGCGGCTTTGGTAAACCATTTCAGATTTATGTGGTTCTTGCTAAGTTGACATTCTGTGCGCGGACGACCTACGAACGAAACGACACTCTCGAGAGCCTTTTGCTCTCGTTTATCAGCTTGCCCTGTATCAGTTGTTGTATGTCTTTTACGGGGGTTATTTTTTGTTAACTTTTTTATTGTTTAAAGAAATATGGCATTTTTACGCGATAGTAAGTAAGAGGTGATTTTAAGTGCAGGGTTTTGTTTCGTCTAGTTTTGGAAGCAAAACAATCATATCAGAAACAGTCTTCTCGAAAATTATATTAAAATTACCAGAGTGAATTTCAAAGCGACTTACTTTATCAACGTCTTTTGGCTTAATACGGTGTTTAATTTACTTCCTAGTCTGCTAAAGGAAATGAAATTGCAAATAGAACTTAAAATTGGAGTTAAATTTTATTAGTAATTACATAGTAAATGAGAAAGTTTTGTTCTCAATAACAGATGTGTTGGGAAAATCAATTGTATTTGTGTTTGAGAAAAGCTTGGACGTCTCGGATTTTTTTCAAGATGATCACTTGACTGCTCGAGGGTAGAATTTTCGCTTCGATCGGACCCAAGTTTCTCCAGGATGCGAATGTGTCGATTTTGTCTTATTACGAACGCAGGTATAAGAAAACAACGTTTTACGAATCGTTGCTCTTTTTCCTTTTTTTTTTTCGTTTTCACTTTTTAGCTCTTAAAAAACAATTTAATCTGAATTGTAAATTAATCATAATATTTTTTTCTTATAAAAGCAAATGTAAATTACGTTTACTTCGCACATTAACCTCACTAGTTATCCACTATATAAATTAAACCACGTTAGTAGCATAGAAGTTGCCACACCGCATTAATTAAGTAAACCCTCTAAGGTGGTAGTTGAAACGTATCAGGCAATTGTGCTTTAGATTGGGTTGGTAAATTTTGAGGAGTAACTATATCATAATACTCGTAAAAGCGAACGTTTGTTTGAGGAGTTCACCTCTTGTAAACATTCTAACCGTGTCACAAATTGTACTTCAATAATAAAATTAGAATGCGTATATGGAAGTTTTACACGGAATTTATTGAATATCAAAACAAAACACAAACGTTATTTCGGATGCCATCAGTTAGTAACAATCAAATAAATATTATTCTCCAATTCAGTCAACAGATTCTGTTTACAAAACATTATTTATTTATATATACAGAGTCTCTGTAGATAAATTTAATCTAGCTTTTTGCCACATTTAAAACCTATAGATTGCGATTATCAAACGAATTAATTTACTTCGTTGTGTGTTAATAAATGCCACATAGTTTCATGAAAAATGATTTATTTGTAGAGCTTTGCTGTCTGATGTTGATATATAGTCAAAGGGTTGAAAAAGCGTACAATAGGCGGTCACCTGTGTTTTTCAACAAAACTGTTGTCAAAATTGTGCTCTGCGTGAGTGTACAACTAGACTAAGCAGTCTTGTAAAATCTGACCAAGCATAATGTAAATAAATTGGGTCTTTAATTAAGAACGGTACTAATCAAAATATCCATTTAGTTGTCAGCTTACCTTTCTTACGACGTTCAACGGTTATAGCTTGACTATCCTCTCTTCTCCACATGATTTTAGGCGTGGGAAAACCGTCCGCTTTGCACGTCAAGCTTATATTCTGGTTTTCACGAACAGCTACTGTAGATTGCGTGCTTTCTGCATCAATGATATTCGGAGGAACTGTAATAAGAATGCGATGAAATTAAAACACTCATTTATTTTCAATTGGATAACGTGCGTGGTGAAATCAATTTCGTTTCCCAGTGATGCCCCTTTTTATCTCCTCATTTAGCTCCAGACGTTTATCTCTTCCCTAAAATCTTTCCAATCGAATGTAACTACCGTTAAAAATACTATTTTTTCAAGAGAGCATCCACAAATCAATTCATTTGAAATTAGTCGTTGGGAAGCATGTGCGTCATCATGCACGCTCCATACAGGTTAATTACGTCCTTTGAGTTAAAAAAACAAGCAGTTGGCTTGTTTTACCATAGCAAATAATTTTTAACGAGTTGACAGTTGTGATTAAAATTGGTTACTCAGTTGGCGGTTATAATTAAAGGGATTACTCACCGACTACTTGCAGATATCCTACTTGGCTAATCATGGGATTTGTGTTAACTTGGCACATGTAGTAACCCCGGTCTTCTTTTTGTACGCTACTGACGTGCAAAAGCCACGTCTTGGCATTATCGTGGGACACGCTGAATCGCGGCACTCTGGATATGACGTGACGGTGAATTGTCAAAATCATTTGTCGGTCTATATGTATCCAAGCGACCTGAAAATATGTAATATATGTAAGTGGAGGAATAAAGTTATATTTTCGAGACACCAAGTAGATAGACGTTGGACAGGAGCCAACATGATCGCGTCATGTAATGCAGATTAGCTGCGCATCCGCCATCTGACGTTACAACAGAAGTTCAAAAGAACAGATGTTACATTCTCTGAACCAATATAAACCTGAGCAAAACTGATGAGGAATGTGTTTTAAATAAAGTTACGTCCAATGTTTCACCCGGGATAAATAAATAAACATGGATGTCAATCTACAAGATTAAATAATTCGCTGCGCTAGTCGAGTCTTAACCACAATCAGCCATTCATATATTCCTGCAAGCGTTAGATAGTCACTATATCTTCTAATTGCAAACCTAATGCACCAACGCAATCAAATCAACCTACACGATCTTGTTCTCCCATTCGCAATTCTCATTGTAAGTTAAACCACAAACGTTTCTCATTACCCATTATGTTAATTTTCTCTTGATGAAAGGACCATCTAGTGCACATTTAACGGTTTATCACAACCTCACCACAAAAAGATATTACCAGTCTGCAGGAACAACAAATTTATGAAACTCTTATAGATCACTGCTACGAGAAAAATTGCGGCTATCGGATTACACGAAAACTCAATATGGCTCCTGAAAGGTCCCAAACTTATTATAATTGCAACACTTTAAACTTATTTCAGATAAAGTTAAAATTTGAATTTAATAGCAAAATGCCTTTCCGTTTTTAAATAAATGTTAAAAAGAAGTATTTAGAAAAATCTAGAAAACACAAACATCACAAATTTACTTTCTGATATTGTATTACATTTTAACTTGACGTTACAATTTGATTGTAATAGCTCGAAAAGGGTTGAACGCCCTCCGTTGCGATATCGCTGTATTACCTATTATTTACTTTAATGAGATAGTGGTTTTACAAACATAATCTTGTAATTTCCATTTACATGTTATTGTAAGTAAATAGTAATGATTTATGCTTCCCATCCCTTACACTGAAAATGTATACACAATATTAAACCAGTGAATCATTATTGTTAGTTGAGGGAGCAATTACTGACCGACATGTGCCTGTTACAACAAACGTGATGAATCATTTCAGTTGAAAATTTCACCCGTAATTGCAAAAATTTGCACCAAACGTTGGAACTTGTTTAATATTATACAGTGCCCCTAAACTGCTTTAGTTCTAGATGCGTGATTTGTATTGATAAAAGAAATTACGTCGAAAATAATTTATTTATTTTATTTTATGATTGATTTTGCAAAATCTCTATTTTCGACAAATCAAATAAAAAATATTCTGTTTGATTAGATGGAATGTGGGTAATTATTTGACTACTAGGCATTTTGTGTTAGTGAAAGTGAGGCGCGGTGTACCTTTCTAACAAGTCTAGGGCCCCCAAGTAAATATAATACCAAAACAAACAATAAAGTGTAAAGAGAAATTAACGGACAATGTGTTTCTTGGATGGTCCATGCAAGGTGACGTAAAATAATTCAAAGTTGTTTCAAAGTTTCTGTCAATGTTTATTTAGTTGAAAATAAATTTTGTAATCCATTTAGCAAGCAGTAACGACAGTATTGTTTGTATCTAGTATAAAAAGGAAACAAGAAAGGTTGAATAGTATCTACCCTTAGGCCGATTGCGGATTGACTCTTACTCGAGGACTCTCCATTCACGGGGGAAATGGTGATTGCAGTGTGGTGGCTTGGCTTCAGTAAACATTGCAAGATAAAATAATAGTCTGAAGCAAGTGCCTCAAAAACCCATTTCGCTTTATTGATTTTATCGCAACGCTTTGTAAAACATTTTTTACGAAAACAGGTGCTAGCTCTAATTACCACTCTCTAGTGCTGAGTTTATATTAAACGACCGTTTATTAATCAAACATTACGTGCCAGTGACATTAGTGCTATATTATGGTTAATGAATCAAGTAATTCATTCATTCATCTCATGCCAGTTGAGTTCTTAAACGAAACAAATTAATTTAATTAGTTGATTCATTGATGGCAAACGCATTGATATTTTTCACAAATACATATAATCACAACTAAGTAAACATTATTGTTGAGTACGGTTTAGAGCCAGATTGTAGAAGGTATGTAAATATTTAGAATCTGTTCGAAGTCAGAACAATATGTTGGAGTATTGATTACTTTATTAATAAGACAGAAGCATTTAGCTTGTGACAAGGAATTACATGTTCACCGTCTGTTTCAAATTGAGGTATTCCTAAACATCACAATACTGTAAAGAGTAAACACTACAGACATCGTAACTTAAGTCCAATAATAGAAAGTTTCTGAAGAAACATTTTGTAATCAAAAAATTAAGTTTCAGAAAAAAAAGGTTGAAAACTGTTTAGTTTCTCTTTTTTTTTTAAATACACGACAGTAATTAAAAAAAAAACACACAAATGGATCGATTAGCAATTACCCTGAAAGTAGAGAAATTGTAATAGTTATTTACGATATGTGTATCGTAATGTGGAATTTTACGATACGCGATGGAAAAATTGTCCAAGTTGTTTACTTTTTTCAAAAGTGTTCCAATGAAAGCAAGTTGCAGTGTCAGTGCAAAAATGAGTGATTCAGAGGAAAATTTGTCTTCTGATATAGAATTGACTGCTCAATCTGCTATAGATACATTAATTCCTGCCAAATCCAAAGAGCGGTATGAGATAGTGTACAAATATTTTAAAGAATGGATGGAAATCAAGAAAATTCGTGAAGTCTCTGAAAAGGTGGTCCTTGCCTATTTTGCGGAACAATCAGAGAAGCTAAAACCATCCTCCTTATGGTGCCGGTATTCTATGTTGCGGACGATGGTGTCGATTAAGATATATATTGACAGCGTCTGGGATCAATATTGAAAATGCCTCAAACTGTGTAATTTATTTTAATAAATAGTTGTAAATTTTGCAAAATTTAGTCTCTTTACTGCACTAGTGCTTTATTACCGCACTAGTGCCGTAAAAACTGCCATTACGACACTTAAAAAAATTGTGAAATATGGCACATTACAGTATGAAAGTAGATAAATAGTCTAATAACTAAAACTTGGTAATTTATTACATTGCACATTTTATTGTCTACTAAGCTCCGAGCTGCCATGTGAATTTCTCTAGTCTGAACTCTATATTAAACTTCATTATCATGTTATATATAGCGTGGAATATTTAATTAATCCACTGCCATCTTTGTTATCCCATGCCAAAGTACTTAAATTGGTGGCGTAGCCACAAAGAAAACAAATTGAAATTAGCCAAAGCTACCTTGTAGGTGAAATAGAGTATTTTTTGCACAATTTTTAAATATATATTTTTAATTCAATAAAGTTCATTAATAAATGAGTTTTAATTAAATACTATATGACTTTTGTGTTATGAATATTTGAATAGTTTTCATAATATTTGATTTAATTGTACATTAATAAAATTCGCAATAATGTTTTACGAAGAGAAATTTCAACTGAAATTTTGTCTAGATCTGATATAGAGAGAAAGTTTTTCGATGTATTTTGTGTTTGTAAATTTGGTGGTGTTGTGTTTTGATGTAAAAAAGCGTTTTTTGTTAGAACAGTGATGCTGAGTGGTATGGAAATAAGGGAGAGGAGTGCGTCTTATTCGTAAACATGTGTTTGTGTTAGCATAAATAAAATTTATGTGGAACTCGAACAAGTTACAATACGTTATTAGAAAGTTGAAATATTTACAAACTTATTTGGAGAATAAGCAGGGTGAGCCCCAAGCCAGAAGAATTTCCGCAACGCATATACACAACCTCCAAATTTACATCTTTTAACAACATTGTGAGAACTCCTCCCGGTTGCTGAATATCACAGTTCCTGCCATCACCTCGGGCCCGACCGCACACTACATCATTACCGCTGCGGCTTCCCCAAAGTGCTGGCACTGCATTCTGTTAAACTTGCCTCCTAAATGCAGGAATATGTAACGACTGTCAGATCAAATCCGGGAGACGACAGACTCACTTGACACCTACCCCTAATTGCCCGAAGCTATACAAGAAAGAAGTGAAAAAATAAAGCACACTCCAGAGATCACAGTTTTGGAACAGCACCAAAATTCATTGAAGATTTTGAGTTATCTTCTTTAGATGGAGACAAATATGGGCCTCAAAATGTCGCCTTGGGATGCGCCTTGGCCCAATCCGGAGTTTATTGTGTAAATTCAGTTAATCCTAATGAGATTAATGCGTCTTCCGTTTTATGATAATTCGGGTTAAGAAGTGGTAAGTTCTGTTGTAATCTTGAGTGTGTACTGTTGCGATTTGCGAGTGTCAGATCAAATCGGGTCTTGTCAGTCGTGAGGCAGTTGACACATGGCGCTAATTGCGACAGGTAATCTCGCGAACAAAGCCGAATTTGTAGCGCGCTTTTAGTTATGTGTTTTATGTTAATGGAGGATGCATTATCATAACTCGAGAAATACAGCTGCGCTCCAATATCCGACACCAAAGTTTTCTTGATAAATACCTAAAGCAAGCCGTGCAGGCCGTCGTCTTCAGGTTCTTCAACAAATACTCCTTATTATTTGTTGGCTAATTTGGGCACGGAGCGTAACCCGAACTACCCCCATAACTCCGCCATTGTTCTAGGAGCAAAACGCGACTACAAAAACAGACCTGTGCCACGGTGGTGATAACACCCACAACCCCCAAAAGACCAACATTTTATTCAAACCGGAAACAACTTTATAAATTTACGCCAACGCCACTGAAATTAACAAGCAAGAAAAAGTTGTGACGAACTACGCTGGAAGCAAATTTTTACTTTATGTTTTACTAACACATAAAGAGATAATCGAATGGATAATGTGTGAGCAAATATAGCTACAATGAACTGATTTATGTTCATTTACATGCCTTTGTTGTGCGAATTAAGCGAATTAAATACCACTTAAAATCAAATAGACTTTAATTTCTAATGTAAAAATATCATTACTAATTAAATCGCT